GCATCTTTGGCCTCGGAGTAGCGGGGTGGCTGCTCAAACTCGGACGCCAACGCCTTCTTCAGGTCTTGGAGTGAGATGGCGTCCAAGTTGAGCTTGCTGGCGAACCGGAACACATCGCCTTCAGTGTTGCTGACAGCAAGGCGGACAAGCTCTGCATCTCGGGTGTTTGGAAAGGCGATTTTCACCCGCTCAACACTGTGGATGAAGTTCTTCAAGGACAGGCTGCCATCTGCTTTGTAGATGCCAATCAACTGGTAGACATGAGCTCGAATGGCGATGGACTGTGGGTCTTCTGGTTGGACATCTCTGTTGACCAACTCGGACGAGGTGAGAGGTTCCATGGTCAAATTGGTGAGTACAATATTACAAAATTTCTTAAATTTATTCGCTTATTTATAAAAATTGAGCCACAACAATAAAATTTAGCAATGGACCATTTTATTTGTTTCTTTGTAAAAAAAAATTCTCTCAATTAGAGGATTATCACCCAATCTCTAATTTAACTTTTCGCGTTTTTAACCCAACTTTGCTGATTACTTTTAACTTTCAATTTCCGAGTTCCTTTTTGGCATGAAGTGCAACTTTCAAAACGCCCTTAAGGCTGATATTTACAAAAAGCACTCTACCCACTCAAATAATAGGATCCATTACAACTTAAAAGGGATACCTTAAATTAACAGCTCTGCGTTTTTCTTGGTCGCGCTCTACAGCAGTGTGCCTGTGTTTTCCCGTGAACAAAATCGGCAAGGTGCTTCTTAAGGCGCTCTCCTTCCGTCAGCCTCTTTTAACTTTCGGTGCACCTCGATCCAGCGGTCGCTTCTTGTCGATGGCACCAGGCTTGTCACGGTCGGTCTCGGATCCTCAGAACTTCGGCGAAAACAGGGTACGGGAGAGTACCGTGCTCTCTGGGCTGGCCAGGGTGCGCGGGACGTTCCAAAGGGTGCGTTAATTTGGAAAAAAAAACACACCCCACCCACCTGACACCAAATCTGTCGTGACTCTCGACAGGACTTTTCCCCGAAGTTCTCACTTTGCGCAGAGCTGGAGACTTTCCCGGACTCGAACGTGCTTCTTAATTAATTATTGACTTAACTTGGCGGCCTCATGGAAATTGGCTTTAATTCTAATTGGCCTTTAATGCTTTTACTCTTTTATCTTTGTGCTCTAACTAAAAAGGGTTAATTGATATTTCAAGTATACAAGTTAATTAACAATAACAAATAAAGTGATGGTTTATTCTTAATACTAAACAATAATTGGCCAAACTAATGCGGAATTACTATTAGATTTAATATTCTAATGCTGAGTTTTATAGTTCGGACTGAATTAGTGAACGGATTAAGCTGATTTAAAAGGATATTCAGTTCCGAATTTATCTAGCGTGGGCGCCAAGCAATACCTTTTAAAGCGGGAAGGGAAACCATTACAACCACACTCAGTCGAGTCCAGGAAGCGTCTGCTTGGGCACTCAGGTGGCGCCCTGAGCGCGGCGGTCGTAGTTCTCGGTGGTGGCGTGGCGCGCGGGGCGGGAACTTAAGGGTTGTGCTCAGCTTTGGTTAATATACTAAATGGCCTTAACGCGCGCGGTTACATAATTATAAGATTTGTACAATTAAAGTTCTTCTTCTGCAATACAATAATTAAAGATCCCTGTGGTTACACCACAATGGGCTAACCTTACTCGCAGAGACAATAATTGATACAAATATTTATTATTCTGTTCGACAATATTTCGCGAGTGTGTGTCACCACACTTTCATAATATTTATCATATTTTTATAAAACTCTTCAACGTCCCCCTTTTCCAGATTTGTTTTTAGAATATTTCTATTTTTAGTCTCTATAAGCTCTTTAAGTATGTTTTCATCTTATTTAAAATTTTTCTTATTCAAAGACATGTCCCCATTTCTGTTCTTTTGTTTTGTGAAATTAAATTCTATTGAAATAAAATTATGTTTTCTTATGGTTGGGCAAATTTTAAAATTTCCGGTGTAAATTTTTGGCCCTTTGAAGATTAAATCAACCACACTATGACCAATACTACAGTCGTAGGTACTTTTATATGGATATTCATTTACTATTGTCAGACTGTTTTCCTCAGCAAAATCAAGCAGCGAGTCAATTTTTCTATTTTTAGTATCCAATCGGCAATTAAAGTCTCCAGCCAAAATGAAATTTTCAAAATTTTCAACATATTTAAGGATTGAGAGAAGTTCATTAGTCACTGTTGTAGAACGTATCTTCGGATTTAAATAGCATGTTACTACTGTAATGTCATCAAAATTTAGAATTATGAAGTTTTCCAAATATTTCACATTTAGTAAATTTCCTAACCTAGAATTAAAATACACGGAAATTCCCCTCATCGGTCGCCCTGCCTCCTTTTGTGAAGCTAAAACTTGCCTTGAATAAAAACCAGGAATGTGAAGTGGTTTCTTTAAAAATGTTTCCGTGAAAAGAAGAATATCATAATTTTGCAGTTCTGTTGCAATCGGAGATTCATATGCTTTCGTAAGCCCTTCACAATTCCAAAGCCCTAATTTTAAGTTACTCACGTCGCTGTTTCGACAAGGGAAATCTATAAAGAAAGTTTCTCACGAGCACCACAGTTGCGCTTGCTTCTCTCCCTGGGTGCAACAGTCTGCGAATTAGGGGCATCATTTTGCTGCTCTCCGTCATCCGGCTTCCTCCCTCCAGTCTCTTCTTCTTCCTCTCCGGCCTCCTTTGGGTTGAACAAATTCCCACAGTTTCCCCAGCGTTTGGAGACATACTTGTTGTACAGATGAACAGTGACAGGGACATCTCGAAGTTCTTCGTACAGAGTGTCCAGGACCCAGAGGCGATGCAGCCTGTCCATGCCACTGCACATGTAGGTCATTGCAATCTCATCAATCTCTTCCTCTCGAATGACTTGGGCCAGCTTAGCAAATGCAGTCTTCACTCCCTTTAGGAAAGGCTCAGGTGCTTTGTGCAACTTGTGGGGGGACCTCATTTTAGTTACCACGTGAAACACAGCCCTGGCAGAAACGATTATTGGAGAAATAATTCTAAAATATTTATACAATATTCCACCATTGAATTAATATTGGGATCAATATAAAATTCTGACAGGGAGTACCGTACTTTTCAGTCTTCTCTCTGATGATTCCGCCTATTTCAGTCTTTCCCGGCTCAGCTTTCGGTTTGCCCACCGCCGCCGTAACCTCTTGTGCAGCCCCCATGCTGGTCCAGAGATCAGAGGCTATGGCGTGTGCCTTTATCTCTTGCTTGGCATCCAGTAGACTGACCCCTTGATGTTCAACAAACTTGACCTTGGCTCCCTCCACTGCGAGCGACTCATCATTCTTCAGGGCCTCATCGAGTTGGGCAGAGCGATCGATGTATTGGTTCACGCAGGGTGTGTCATCAGCCTTTGTCAGAGGAGCAATTGGTGGATAATAACCTCTCTGATACCTGCCGTGAAATTGCCTCCGTCTGTTATCTGTACCGCTCGACTCATTTTCTGCATTCTTCTCGTAGAAAAGGACCTTCCGCTCAAGCTCCCTCAGCTTAGCCTCGTGCTTCTCATCTCTCTCCTTCCAGGACAAACGTTCCTTTTCAAATTCCTCCTGCATCAAAGATACTGTTTTACTGAACATTTCGCCAAGTTGGTCATTCTGAATTTTGAGCTGATTTGAGAATTGCAGCGTGACATGCTGGAAAACACGCTGAATGATTTCCTCCAACGTTACTACAGCTCCCGGAGGAGCCGGACCTCCTGCGTAAGTCTGTCCAAAACCTCCTGAGTTGAGAACTGGTCCATTGTTTCCATTTTGCAGAGGGTTTGGCGCCATCTCCTGTCCGGGGGTGGGTGGAGTTCCTTCGGGCCATGCTGGATGATGGAATTTTGCTCTATTTTCTGTATGTCCGTAAGAAGGGCCACAATTTATGGGTGGCTGGGCAGCGTACCCTTGTGGTGACCTCCACGGCACATGTGCAGATGCCATGGCCTTCAACTCAGGGAAAAAAGGCGAAATTAGACACACGACCCTCCTAAACCAGTGTTTTCCTTACCGAAGCAGTGCTGCCAATCAAATATACTTTTATTATATTTTTATTATATTGAATCATAAAGATAGGCGCTCAGCGCTCGACTGAGTGAGTTATATTCTGCAAACGATTTTGATTTGATTTGACTGCGTGCATAAATCGGTTCTCGCACAAGCAAATAGTATTTCTGAAATACCAAAGATGGGTGCGCTCAACAATTTTGCGCTCGCGCTCACTGGCAACAGTGCGCTCGCGCTAGCTCTGCGCTCGCGCTCAACTTTTTGAAAATGCTGCGCTCGCGCTCAAATTTTTAAAAAGTCTTGCGCTCACGCTTTGCGCTCAAAAATATTTTTATCCCAGGAAAAAGTTCGACTTTTTAGAAACTTTTTTATACAAAAAAACCATCGTCAATAAAAATGATAAAGTTGAAGTTAAGTTACCAATATTGTTATCAGTTTTGAAGATTTTTGGTATAAAAACACTGTTTTTCGTTACAATTTTTGATCAAATTTGGGAATTTTTACTTATGGTTTGAGCGAAAAATGAGCGCAAATGAGCGCTGCGCTCAGCGACCAATGCGCTCGCGCTCTGCGCTCTCGCTCACGATTTTGAAAATCGTGCGATCGCGCTCGCGCTCAGAGCGCAGAGCGCAGAGTGCAGAGCGGAGAGCGCGCTCTGCCCAACTATGTGAAATACATACATTATTTTTGTCAACCACCTTCAATAATAATAATAATAATAAAACAGTGTACATAACGATTATACGTCAACAATTTTCACATATTATTATTATTATTGCAATTTATTCGCGCGTCGCAAGCGCGTCAATCGTCAAACAACACCTGTGTCGCCATCTCTCGCCGATTTAAAAAAACTTGTGCGATGAGGAAGTTTCACAGAGTTGTACACTCTGTGGGAAGTTTTAGAAAGATAAACAAAAACAACGTGTGCCAAACATGTGCTCGATTGTATTTTTTTATTTTGAATTCCGACCTTTAAGGGCCCATTCAGACGTTTCTTAACAAAGGGCCGAGAAATCGAAGGATCGCTTCGTTTTTCACAAACGGCTGAGTTTTACTTCGAGTTTCAGAATCCGAAAAGCGAACACGAAATGATTGAACTCGGCGATTATATCACTCTTCTTGAGAACAGTCTTCTTGACAGCGTGGATGTTGACAAGAAGAATTTAACTGAAGGTGAAGGTATGCAAATTAATATTTTCTATGTATGTATAAAATGTGCATTATGTACATTTTCAGGGTTGCTTGATAAAAAAACATTATTTATGTTACTGTATAATTGTCGTGTTTTTTTTTTTTTAAATTAAATAAATAAAGATAGAGTATTTATTGAACACAACTAGGTGTACAACGGGTGTCTAAAGCTAATTTGTCTTCCTAAAATTAATTTTACAATTAAGCTTGTTTCGATAATTATTACAAAGTACAAAATTAGTTAATTTTGATTTTTGCAGCCTCTCTTAGGCTTAGTTTACGTTCATTACATTCAAGAATATGATATTGTGAACATTTCTTACCGCAGTGCTTGCATTCACAATCTATTGTCGCTTGAGAATGAAAATTTTTATTCTTACAAAATAAATAGTGGTACCCGTGACAGGCAAATCTCGTAAACACTTGGCGATCACTGAACATTGCACATTGCCAATTTTTATTCTTCATAGTTTCTGTCTCGTAGAACTCATCACATATCTCAAGTTTGTTTAAATATTTAGACATACAAAATTTCTGGAATGCTTCAGTTTCAGTTAGAGAATATTTTACCTGTAAGTCCGATACAAAGAGATCAGTGTCAACTAATTCATACACAAATCTAGATCTAATATACTTGGACAGTCCTAAAACTCTTTTTAAATATCTTGTTTTGACTTTTTCAAGATTTTCAAAATCAGTCTTTGTTAGGAAAGGCCATATTTCTTCAATGCCGTAGGACGCAATTGGGGAAATTTTTAGATCAAATAGCTTGTGTGCTGTTTCAATGGATAATTGTTTTAGTTCTCGTATATTATAAGTGGCCAGCAATGCAGCTCTTGTTCTTTTTTCAATGTGCTTTCCAAAAGAGATTCCTGATGGTTGAAAAGTAACTCCTAAATATGTAAACTCAGCAACTCTCTCTATTTCAATTCCACCTAAATCTAGGCGGTCACTTAATGCATATTTTCCTAGACCCTTATTTCTGAATTTCATGAATTTGCACTTTTCCAAGTTAAGTTTCAAACTGCGTTTTAACAAAAATTCTTTCATTCTGGCTAAAGCAATTTTCAAGTCACTTAATTTTTCTGAGGTTAAAACAATATCATCTGCATAATAAATGGCTTTCACGTTTGGCAAATCTCGTAGAATATTATTTATATCAGCTAAAGAGTAATTGAACAGAAATGGGGACGTGCATCCCCCCTGTCTTACCCCATTTGATTGTGTAATAAGTTTTGATACTGTTACTCCATCTACTATTCTCAAGAAATTTAAGTCTAAGTTGTGAGCTAAATAATTTAACTCCGTGAACGTTAGCTTCTTGCTTTCTATTAACTTCTTAAAAATAAACGCCCTATCTATTGAGTCAAAAGCTTTACTTACATCCAAAAATAAGGCATATAAGGGTGATTTCTTCTTATAAACTGTCTCTTGAATGTTATTAACTAAGGACTTAATTGCCTGTAAAGTGGATTTTCCTTTCACAAAACCATATTGATTGCCTGGAATCTCGTGAATCAAAGATGAGTAGATACGTGCATGCAGTACACGATCTAACAGATTGTAAAAAGCCGAACTAATACATATTCCTCTATATGAATTTGTATTTTCCGCGTCCCCTTTTCCCTTATACAAGAGTTTTAGATTTGACTGCCTCCATTCCTCTGGACATGTTCCTAGCTCCAAGCATTTGGTGAAAAATTGCGTTATTTCGGGGAGTAAGGATTCAACAAGTAGTTTAATATTTTCATTCTTCACTTTGTCAGGTCCAGGGGATTTCCCGTTTTTCATTTTCTTTAATGCTAACAAAACTTCTTCTTCCATAATAGGTGAAAAATTTATATCATTTCTGTAATCTACTATCATCTCTTTCAGATTTAACGATTCATTTTCACTCAATTTTTTCTCGTTGAAAATTTTTTCAAAATTGCACTCCCATTCATCCATCATTATATTGTTTGTATTGTAAAAACTTTTGCTCAACTTGAGAATTTTATAGCACTTGTTCTGCTCCGCCTCTTTTAAAATGTCCAACTCCTTCATTTGCACAAAAGCGTTCTTCTTCATTTCACACATATTTTTGTAATTTCTTTTTATTGCGGTATAGTGCGGTAATAGAATCTTGATTATACTAGTTACATTTAAACTTTCAGCCACTTCCAAGCACTCTCTCCATTCGTTCAATTTCTGTTTTAATTCGTAGCATTCAGAATCAAACCACGGTTGACTAATCCGTTCAGTTTGCCTACGAGGAATGTCGGCCTCTTTCATAATATTTATCATATTTTTATAAAACTCTTCAACGTCCCCCTTTTCCAGATTTGTTTTTAGAATATTTTTATATTTAGTCTCAATAAGCTCTTTAAGTATGTTTTCATCTAATTTAAAATTTTTCTTATTCAAAGACATGTCCCCATTTCTGTTCTTTTGTTTTGTGAAATTAAATTCTATTGAAATAAAATTATGTTTTCTTATGGTTGGGCAAATTTTAAAATTTTCGGTGTAAATTTTTGGCCCTTTGAAGATTAAATCAACCACACTATGACCATTACTACAGTCGTAGGTACATTTATATGGATATTCATTTACTATTGTCAGACTGTTTTCCTCAGCAAAATCAAGCAGCGAGTCAATTTTTCTGTTTTTAGTATCCAGTCGGCAATTAAAGTCTCCAGCCAAAATGAAATTTTCAAAATTTTCAACATATTTAAGGATTGAGAGAAGTTCATTAGTCACTGTTGTAGAACGTATCTTCGGATTTAAATAGCATGTTACTACTGTAATGTCATCAAAATTTAGAATTATGAAGTTTTCCAAATATTTCACATTTAGTAAATTTCCTAACCTAGAATTAAAATACACGGAAATTCCCCTCATCGGTCGCCCTGCCTCCTTTTGTGAAGCTAAAACTTGCCTTGAATAAAAACCAGGAATGTGAAGTGGTTTCTTTAAAAATGTTTCCGTGAAAAGAAGAATATCATAATTTTGCAGTTCTGTTGCAATCGGAGATTCATATGCTTTCGTAAGACCTTCACAATTCCAAAGCCCTAATTTTAAGTTACTCACGTCGCTGTTTCGACAAGGGAAATCTATAAAGAAAGTTTCTCACGAGCACCACAGTTGCGCTTGCTTCTCTCCCTGGGTGCAACAGTCTGCGAATTAGGGGCATCATTTAGCTGCTCTCCGTCATCCGGCTTCCCTCCAGTCTCTTCTTCTTCCTCTCCGGCCTCCTTTGGGTTGAACAAATTCCCACAGTTTCCCCAGCGTTTGGAGACATACTTGTTGTACAGATGAACAGTGACAGGGACATCTCGAAGTTCTTCGTACAGAGTGTCCAAGACCCAGAGGCGATGCAGCCTGTCCATGCCACTGCACATGTAGGTCATTGCAATCTCATCAGTCTCTTCCTCTCGAATGACTTGGGCCAGCTTAGCAAATGCAGTCTTCACTCCCTTTAGGAAAGGCTCAGGTGCTTTGTGCAACTTGTGGGGGGACCTCATTTTAGTTACCACGTGAAACACAGTACCGTACTTTTCAGTCTTCTCTCTGATGATTCCGCCTATTTCAGTCTTTCCCGGCTCAGCTTTCGGTTTGCCCACCGCCGCCGTAACCTCTTGTGCAGCCCCCATGCTGGTCCAGAGATCAGAGGCTATGGCATGTGCCTTTATCTCTTGCTTGGCATCCAGTAGACTGACCCCTTGATGTTCAACAAACTTGACCTTGGCTCCCTCCACTGCGAGCGACTCATCATTCTTCAGGGCCTCATCGAGTTGGGCAGAGCGATCGATGTATTGGTTCACGCAGGGTGTGTCATCAGCCTTTGTCAGAGGAGCAATTGGTGGATAATAACCTCTCTGATACCTGCCGTGAAATTGCCTCCGTCTGTTATCTGTACCGCTCGACTCATTTTCTGCATTCTTCTCGTAGAAAAGGACCTTCCGCTCAAGCTCCCTCAGCTTAGCCTCGTGCTTCTCATCTCTCTCCTTCCAGGACAAACGTTCCTTTTCGAATTCCTCCTGCATCAAAGATACTGTTTTACTGAACATTTCGCCAAGTTGGTCATTCTGAATTTTGAGCTGATTTGAGAATTGCAGCGTGACATGCTGGAAAACACGCTGAATGATTTCCTCCAACGTTACTACAGCTCCCGGAGGAGCCGGACCTCCTGCGTAAGTCTGTCCAAAACCTCCTGAGTTGAGAACTGGTCCATTGTTTCCATTTTGCAGAGGGTTTGGCGCCATCTCCTGTCCGGGGGTGGGTGGAGTTCCTTCGGGCCATGCTGGATGATGGAATTTTGCTCTATTTTCTGTATGTCCGTAAGAAGGGCCACAATTTATGGGTGGCTGGGCAGCGTACCCTTGTGGTGACCTCCACGGCACATGTGCAGATGCCATGGCCTTCAACTCAGGGAAAAAAGGCGAAATTAGACACACGACCCTCCTAAACCAGTGTTTTCCTTACTGAATTTGTGTTAAAAAAAAAAAAAAAAAAAAAAAAAAAAAAATTAAATAAATGTATAGATTTAATTTAAAAATTGACATATAATTGAATTCAAATATGTAATTTTATGAGCTATTTTATCTTTAGAATTGACGTGGTTCGACGAAGATTTCTCAACAGGCTGTTTTGAGAAGTTGCTTGGTAGTGAAAAATGCAAAGAGTTTTTGGAGTCCATAAATTTCACAAGTGCCGGTCTCGTCATATTTTATAATTAATTAGGAGTTTTAAAATTGATCCCTAACTCTTCTTCCAGCGAGCTTGAGCTTTTGTCCATTGGAATTGCGAGTCTGCAGTACTTTGTCGAGCTGAACTGGACAGGTCCCAACGTGACCGACACCCTGGAGTGGTTGACGGATAGGAAATCTGAGGTTAGGCTTGAAATGGAGCTGGACGCTGAAAGTCTCAGCCCACTCGTCGAGGGCGTCCAATGGCTGCTGCTCGCCCGCTCCATCCTCGTCCGCAACTGCACAAACTTCTCCCACTTCAAGGTCATACCTACAAATGTAAAGTTATTTCGATTTAAATATTTTGTTCTAAAATCTTGCAGATGTTTTCGATTTGGTGGGGTCTGCGATGCGTTTATGCCCACCAAAGCGTGCTTGAAGAGCCGTCAAAAAGTTTGCATTCCACTCTGGAGGACCTCCTGTCTCTCATGGCAGACTGCAGTCCGTGGATCTCGAGGCCCCACAATGTCAAAACGCCAGAATCAGAAGAGACGCCTGAGCCCCTTGAAGGGGTCTTTCCTGAGCTGCAGAATCCAGTGTGGCGCCGAGCAAGGTCCCTCTTCTGGACGGAAGCAGCGCACTTGAGGCTGCTCTACAGCCAAGTGCTCAAGGCGAGGGATTGCGTTGAGCAGGCACTGGACGCTGCAAACATGCAGCTCTCCCTCACAGGTGCCTATTCCTAATTATGTAGCACATCACATATAAATTTATTTTGTCATTCTGAAGGTGCCATGGGAAGACGAACACATTTCCAAGTGAAAGAAATTGCCCAACTGACCCTGAAAGTGGACAAGGTCTCTCTGGCTTGTGACCAAAACGGCAAAGTTGGCTTGCCTTCGGACGTGCAAAAGGAACTTCCTACAGTAATATATGCTCTCAATCATTTTAAATAATTCTTTTCAACAATCGATTTCAGGACCTGAAACTGGATGACGACTTGCGACTTCCGCAAATTCACTTCAGCGTAGAGGACGCTGGGAAATTCCCCAAGCTCACCCCTGTTGAGCAGTGTGTGGTTCTGGCCTGCTTGTAAAATTTTTATTATTCCCGTCTTGACTTTAAAAGCTAATAATGCAATCTCTCCAGCTCGCATGTTGTCAAGTCGCAACCAAAGGACGCATTAGCCGAAGAGGAAGTTATGCCTTACCTCAATGTAAAACATGCATTTTTATTTTTTTTTAAATTGAAAAATTTTTTCTTTAAAATTTCAGTGTGTTTTGTCAAACCCTCTGGTTTGGTCGGTCCAGCTTTTGGCTCTCTTGGCGCGGTGCAAACTCGAGGCAAGTCACCGCCGAACTATCGAAAGGTCCATGACCCAGGCTCAGGTAATTATTACCAAAACATATTTTTGTTAAATATTCACATTCAAAATTGATAAAGTTGCTGGCAGACTGCATTTTCAAGAGTAATCCACCAGCAAATGTTCGCTCAGAGTTAATATACGCTTCTTTTTTGCCTCCGCACTGGAAGATACAGGTAAAAACTGACTTTACTTCTCACTCGAAAAAACTAATTTTGATCATTAGTTTTGTAAAGGTTGAACTCGCAAGTCTGCTGATCAGTCTGGGAGCAATCAACAGCGCCTTGGACATTTTCCTCCGACTGCAGCAGTGGGAAGATGTTGTTGCTTGTTACCATTTGTTAGAATTGCGCCACAAAGTAAATATTCAATATCTGCATAAGAGAATTGTCTAAAATAAATCCAAAATCTGAACAGGCGGCTGAGGTCATTAGGGTGGAAATCGCAAAAAATCCCAGTGTAAAATTGTACTGCATGCTCGGAGATGCTTCTGATGATGTGACCTGTTACGAAAAGGCCTGGGAAATGTCTGGTTTAAAGAGTGCCAAGGCCCAGCGCCACTGGGGATTTTACTTCTACCACAGAAAAGATGTAAATTTTAAATTTTTATTAACTTGGTTCTCCTAAACAAAAATCGTATTTAGTTTGACAACGGAATTTTGCATTTGGAAAAGTCGCTCGAGTTGAATCCTTTACAACCAACTGTGATGAGTCGATTGGCATTCATGTACCTGGAAAAGGAAGACTGGCGGAATTGCGCCAAAGTGTACAGACAGTTATGCACTTTGGACGGAGAGGTACAATTTTATTGATATCAAATTATCTTGAAATTTGTCAAATTTGATCATTTTCCGCAGAATTTTGAGGCGTGGAATAATTTGGCCAAGGCTTACGTCAAGCTGGGGGAGAAAGCGAGGGCCTGGAAGGTTCTTCAGGAATCGATCAAGTGCAACTACGAAAACTGGCAGGTGTGGGACAATGTGATGGTGGTCAGCATTGACTGCGCTGAGTACCAAGAGGTACCAATCATCTTTATTATGTATTTAAAACTGTTCCAACTTAATTTTCCTTCAGGCTATCAGAGCTTACCATCGCCTTCTAGACCTGAGAGGCTCTCACGTAGACACAGAGGTCCTGGCAATCATTGCTAAAGCGGTCATCGAAGACCTGCCAGACAACCACGGCATCAAGTCGGGCAGACTTCGTAAAAAGGCCCTTGAGTTGTTTGGTCGCCTCACAAGTGTTGTTCCCAACGAGGCAAAGGTTTGGCAACAGTACGCCCGTCTGTGCAGCAGTGGTCCAGATGCTGCAGCTCCCGTCACTTTGGAGAAGTTGGTGCAGTTTCTACAACGGGCTCAGCGGTGCGCAACCCAAGCGCCAAACTGGAGCCGCGAAATCAAATCTTGCCAGGAGGCAGTTGAAATAATGCTCAGTCTTGCCGAGAGTTAGTTGAAAACTATGCTAATTTTATAGAATTATTAAAAAAAAAAATGTTTTCTTTCAGCATGTTTGGAGTTGTGCAGCAAATTTAACAAACCGGCTGATCAAATCAAAATCCTTGCTTCGCCTCGAATGGCAATGAAGTCAATGCAGACAAAAATAAAAGTATTATAAATTTTTACATCTCTTGATTAAAATTCACGTTTTATTATTTTAGATGGAACATACTGATGCAGTTACTGGACAAGTGCAGAAAGAGATTGCTGAAAGTTACAACAAGCTTTCATCAAAACTTGAAGAGATTGTAGAAAAAAATAATTCTTTGCTAGCCAAGAATTTTTGAATATGTAATAAAATCACTTGTTGGCAACTTTATCAATAAGCTTCTCTATTGAAATATATCATTTGATAGTTTTTCTTTCTTAATCATTTTTCTCCGGATAAACAATTTAAGATAGAGTATTTATTGAACACAACTAGGTGTACAACGGGTGTCTAAAGCTAATTTGTCTTCCTAAAATTAATTTTACAATTAAGCTTGTTTCGATAATTATTACAAAGTACAAAATTAGTTAATTTTGTAACCATTATTATTAAATATTTTGGAGAGAGAAGCAATTTGGTAGAAATGGTGTTTGGTAAACTATATTCTAGCTATGGCCAATCAGCTTACAATTCCAAGTATTGACTGAAAGGATGGGAGACGCATATATTTGATCTATTCAAAGTTTTTAAAGAAAGTGAATATTTTTTCAATGATTTGACAAAATTGCCTATTTTTAATTGGTTTCATACTTTGGAATATTTGAATGTGTTTTGCATGTTATTTCAGGTGATATATGGAATAAAATTAGCTGATTAGCCATAGAATATTTTGTTGTGTGGCAATTCAAAATTTTCAATATTTTACTCAGGTATATATTATAATATTTTTCTGCATATTGTATAAAAAAATTTACACCTTCAAATTTTCAGTTAAAAACTTGCAAAACATTTTCTCCATCTCTTCCACCGCTTCTTTTGAGTTAGCAAACGTTGGAGGATTTTTCTTAATGAAATTCAAAAATTGCGTCTGTACTTTGAGCAGCTTTGCTTGAGGAACAACACCCTTGGTGAAGATTTGCTGACCCCCTTTTTGGCTGAGCACTTTCTACAATTTAAAGTTTTTTAATTTTCAAATTAGCTCTTTTTTTATTTTTGAATTCTTACTTGTGTCACTTCTTTTGTAATTTTTTCAATGTCGCACATCACATTACTTGGCAGGTTGTTCATCTTAAACAATAATAATAAGAACAAGGGTGCAAGTTTATTATGGTGGGTTTACCATGACTGTGGACTGGTTCGCCTTGGCAGCTCTGCCCTCCAGGAGGCACTTGGCGATCGAGTCAAAATCAATATCCTCGTCCGATTGAACCATGAAAAGAGGCGAGTCCCATCTATTCTTACTGTCAGGACACTCGTACCGCTCCAGCAGGTTGTCAAACTCGGCCTTGGTGTACTGCCGCCTGTCCAAACCAGCTGAACTCAAATTCCACTGCCAAGCATCTGTCTCCACAACTTCACATTGCACAACACAAAAAGTTTGCTTTGCTGTCTTGGACACACAGTACAACTCATAGCGAATACCTATAGTTTTTGTAGAATATTGTATGCATAAATTTTATCTTGAAAATATCGAAAATATCATATTGAATATCTTACTTTTTAAATAGTTGCCTGCGTCCACAATAACTATTCGATTTTTGCTGAGGTTTCTTAAATTTTTATGGAAAATAATTTAACATCAATTGACCAATTTATTATAATTTCTTTACCTTTGAGTTTCCGATCTGATTTCCCCTCGAAGCAATTTTTCCTTGTTTGACACTGCCGCATAAACAGTTGATTTAATTAATAAATGAGGTTGAAATATTTCAGTGTTTAATACCTTGAAAAAAATTATGAAAATCTGCCGGTTTATTGTTTATTATTTTATAAGAAGAAATCACCCTTATATGCCTTATTTTTGGATGTAAGTAAAGCTTTTGACTCAATAGATAGGGCGTTTATTTTTAAGAAGTTAATAGAAAGCAAGAAGCTAACGTTCACGGAGTTAAATTTTTAGCTCACAACTTGGACTTAAATTTCTTGAGAATAGTAGATGGAGTAACAGTATCAAAACTTATTACACAATCAAATGGGGTAAGACAGGGGGGATGCACGTCCCCATTTCTGTTCAATTACTCTTTAGCTGATATAAATAATATTCTACGAGATTTGCCAAACGTGATAGCCATATATTATGCAGATGATATTGTGTTAACCTCAGAAAAATTAAGTGACTTGAAAATTGCTTTAGCCAGAATGAAAGAATTTTTATTAAAACGCAGTTTGAAACTTAACTTGGAAAAGTGCAAATTCATGAAATTTAGAAATAAGGGTCTAGGAAAATATGCATTAAGTGACCGCCTAGATTTAGGTGGAATTGAAATAGAGAGAGTTGCTGAGTTTACATATTTAGGAGTTACTTTTCAACCATCAGGAATCTCTTTTGGAAAGCACATTGAAAAAAGAACAAGAGCTGCATTGCTGCGGCCACTTATAATATACGAGAACTAAAACAATTATCCATTGAAACAGCACACAAGCTATTTGATCTAAAAATTTCCCCAATTGCGTCCTACGGCATTGAAGAAATATGGCCTTTCCTAACAAAGACTGATTTTGAAAATCTTGAAAAAGTCAAAACAAGATATTTAAAAAGAGTTTTAGGACTGTCCAAGTATATTAGATCTAGATTTGTGTATGAATTAGTTGACACTGATCTCTTTGTATCGGACTTACAGGTAAAATATTCTCTAACTGAAACTGAAACATTCCAGAAATTTTGTGTGTCTAAATATTTAAACAAACTTGAGATATGTGATGAGTTCTACGAGACAGAAACTTTGAAGAATAAAAATTGGCAATGTGCAATGTTCAGTGATCGCCAAGTATTTACGAGATTTGCCTGTCACGGGTACCACTATTTATTTTGTAAGAATAAAAATTTTCATTCTCAAGCGACAATAGATTGTGAATGCAAGCACTGCGGTAAGAAATGTTCACAATATCATATTCTTGAATGTAATGAACGAAAACTAAGCCTAAGAGAGGCTGCAAAAATCAGAATTAACTAATTTTTGTACTTTGTAATAATTACTGAAACAAGCTTAATTGTAAAATTAATTTTAGGAATACAAATTAGCTTTAGACACCCGTTGTACACCTAGTTGTGTTCAATAAATACTCTATCTTATTTCATTTTGATCCGCTCCGCGCTCGCTCTCATCGCATCGCGCACGCCGCCACGCATTCGGGGGGCTCGGCGGACATTATTCCCACGATCCCTCACGCTCACTCTCCAACTCCTCTCTCCAGGACACACTTGTCAGGATGGTCCGGAGACTCTGGCTGAACTCTAGGCGCGTTGGGCCGGCTCTATCCCTCGGCGGGACGGAGTTCTCCGGCCGCTGGATTCGCAAAAGCTGCACGCAGAATTTTCTAAGTCCCGCGCGCGATTTTCCGTAATGTACATTGTTTCGGCGCATTGTGTGAATTTTGCGCAGAAATTCAAATTTTGGCCAATCAGAGGCCGCCCCCAGCAGCACGTCATCCCTCCAACTCATCTGTTTCTCTCCCAATTGCGTGGGCGTGGGAGCTCAAAAGAGGAAAGAAAAAAAACAATACAGACGAGTCGTGGTAAATAATAATTTGGCTTTAAAAAAAGGTGCAACTGAAGAAGAAGTTGTTCAGAAACGTCAATTTTATGTGAGTGTTTGTTGTCGTAAAAATTAGGAATCAAATTATAGATCCCCTTTATCACATTACTCTACGAGCAAAATATTTTTGACTTTCATTTAAATAGCATTATTCAATACCTCTCTAGTTTTTGTGTGTAATTGGAAGTGGGAGTATTTTTTCTAATATCTCCTTGTAGCTTGAGAATAATGTTTTGTGAAAATAATATATTAAATTATTTTATTTATCTTTTTATGAGCTACAGAAAATTTTTTGTATTTTCGTTTTGTAATTTTTTATATTACTTTACATATTCCGTATTTTAAACTAGTGAGACTTAGCATTAGCTACGTCCTCTTTGACAGCTTGACTTAGGTTTCTCTGTCTTTTTTAGGTTGCGCCTTAACTTAAGTGGCTTTCGGATTCACTTTCTTTGGAGGCTTTGGTTTCCCTGAGGTGATCTTGAATCTTCGATGGTCGACCATTGGAATTTTCGATGCATCGAAATGGAGCACGAATAAGAAATTATATATTATATCTTTTAGACGAGACTTGACAAAGAGGACTTGATATAAGAGTGCGAATGCGAAACCTAAAAGAAAAAAGACAGAGAAACCTAAGTCAAGCTGTCAAAGAGAACGTAGCAAATGCAAAGTCTCACTAGTTCAAAATACGGAATATGTAAAGTAAAATAAAAAAATTACAAAACAAAAATTCAAAAAATTTTCTTTAGCTCATAAAAAGATAAATAAATTATTTAATATATTATTTTCACAAAACATTATTCTCAAGCTACAATAAGGAGTTATTAGAAAAAAATCTCCAACTTCCAATTACACCCAAAAACTCCAGAGGTATTGAATAATGCTATTTAAATGAAAGTCACATATATATTGCTCGTAGAGTATGTGAATAAGGGGATCTATAATTTGATTCCTAATTTTGACGACAACAAACACTCACATAAAATTGATGTTTCCAAACAACCTCTTCTTCAGTGGCACCTTTTATTAAAGCCAAATTATTATTTACCACGAATCGTGTGTATTGTTTTTTTTCTTTCCTCTTTTGAGCTCCCACGCCCACGCGATTGGGAGAACCAGATGAGTTGGAGGGATGGAGGGATGACGTGCTGCTCTGGGCGGCATCTGATTGGCCAAAATTTGAATTTCTGCGCGAAATTCACACAATGCGCCGAAACAATGTACATTACGGAAAGTCGCGTCCCGCGCTGCGCTTTATCTGCTGTTTCAACTGCCAACAGCTCACTCCTTTTGGGGCGCCGATCTCTTCCGCCGCCGGAGAAGATCTGGAGGCTCTTTTGCACCTCCCAACGAGGCGGCTTTTCTTCTCGACGAGCAGGGAAGATCTGCGGTGCTCCAACGCTGGATGCTCTCGAAGCTCGAAGTTCCCCGGAGACTCTATCTCTCTGCAAGGCTGATTCTGCTCTGCGGCGATTTGGCTCCTCCCTCTGGCTGCAGGATCCGCTGCTTGGATAGAAACATTATTGCATCGGACTGATTATTGCCAGACTGAGTAGGGAAACCGGCATAGCCTCCGGCCGCCCTCCTCAGCCTGACCCGCAGGTCAGCCTGGTGGCAGCCCTTGCGGGCCGCCGGGGGTCTCCGCTCCCCGCTCCCGAAGGAGCCGGAGCAAGGAGTGCGCCGCTTACCGAGCGGCTCGGGTTTTTATATCATTTCTTCTCATTTGCATAAATCGACGATCTTGGGAAATCGGAGACCCCTAACTCCACCTTTCTTCTAGAAGGTTCTCGAACTTTCCAATGCTGTAGGTATAGGAGACGATCACACTCCCCTCTTGCCGCACTCTGATTGGCCGCCCAAACTCCAGGGGGCTGGCCGAAGCCGCAGCGCCCGCGACACGTCGCCACTCGCCTGCATAAGAAAGGCATATTAAAAATCAGCGGAACTAACTTTCTCTTCCCACTCCTTCTCTCTTGCTGCTGGCGCCGGCGCACAGAGCGCCCCTCTTCCGCTGCAGCCAACACATCAGCTGGGCACGAAATTAAAGCTAAATCCTCGGCAAACAAATCGCGGCTCTGATCAGAGCGTGGACATCCGAGAATTCGCGCTCTTTAGTGGCAAAAGCAATTCCAGTACCCAATGAGCGCTGGCCAATGGCGGCTGCGCCCAGGTGGAGAAACTGGAGAACGCTTTTTTCAATATTGTTTTGGAAAATCGGCAAAAACGTGTCTTAAATGAATTAATATGAAATTTTTGCACCTACCGAGGTCTAGTCCATGAACTGGGCAAGGTATCCGAGTGGCCGGCATGCCGATCAAACCCCTAAATAGGCTCCAACGGGCGAGATACGGCGGCCGAGCACTCGAAAAATCAGCGAGAGCTGTCCGTCGCCGTGTGTGCTGCTGTTTCGTGTGCCTCCTCCTCTCGCCAGTCTCGCCGTCACCCAGCCGCTGCAAGTGCAATTGATATCTCGCGATTCAAGCAGGGAACTTTTTTGAATAATAATTTTGTTGCCCAGTAAAAAATAATAAAATTTTCCAAGATGTTAAAAGAAGAATTTAGACGTATTTTGATTAAAAATTTTATTAAAAATATCAACCAAGAGCTGAGTTATAAAAGGGTTTGTAAAAATAATTTGCATAATTAGGGAGATTTTTTAAAACGATTAAATAATAAATGAAAATGTGCATCATTAACTGCTCCTTCTTTTTGTTAATTTAATCTTTCATGTCAGAATTTTATTTCCCAATGTTTGGAGGCTTCAAACTCAAAATTTAACTTTTTGAACACCAAAATAATTTTTGGGAATATTTTTAACAATTTATTTTATTTCCTTATTTTAAGACGAGTTGGGATCTAAATTGTTATTAATAAACATTTAGCCGTTTGGCATGTGATTTTTCTAATGAGAAAACGGCTAAATATTTATTTGCAAAAATTTAGACCCAAACTCGTCTTAAAATAAGGAAATAAAATAAATTGTTAAAAATATTCCCAAAAATTATTTTGGTGTTCAAAAAGTTAAATTTTGAGTTTGAAGCCTCCAAACATTGGGAAATAAAATTCTGACATGAAAGATTAAATTAACAAAAAGAAGGAGCAGTTAATGATGCACATTTTCATTTATTATTTAATCGTTTTAAAAAATCTCCCTAATTATGCAAATTATTTTTACAAACCCTTTTATAACTCAGCTCTTGGTTGATATTTTTAATAAAATTTTTAATCAAAATACGTCTAAATTCTTCTTTTAACATCTTGGAAAATTTTATTATTTTTTACTGGGCAACAAAATTATTATTCAAAAAAGTTCCCTGCTTGAATCGCGAGATATCAATTGCACTTGCAGCGGCTGGGTGACGGCGAGACTGGCGAGAGGAGGAGGCACACGAAACAGCAGCACACACGGCGACGGACAGCTCTCGCTGATTTTTCGAGTGCTCGGCCGCCGTATCTCGCCCGTTGGAGCCTATTTAGGGGTTTGATCGGCATGCCGGCCACTCGGATACCTTGCCCAGTTCATGGACTAGACCTCGGTAGGTGCAAAAATTTCATATTAATTCATTTAAGACACGTTTTTGCCGATTTTCCAAAACAATATAATCGGCCTTGGCACCCATGCCTTTGGCCGGCATATCAGTCGGAGGGGTCATTCTTTCCCCTCGCCCGAACTGGATGCAGCCATCTTTCTTTTTCATTTGCTTATGTCCACGCTCTGGCTCTGATGGTAATAAATAAAATGCTCAAGCGAAGGAACAGCAATAAATAATTAATTTGGTGAATCAATTTTCACTAATTATTACGACTTCACGGTTTGGATGTAATTCGATAAATTTTTCCTTTAACTGCTTTGCTCTGGAACTCTTGCCTGAACAGGGCAGCCCCGTCAACAGCAGCAGTGGCATTCTCTCTAAGTCTGAAGAAAGAAAAATGAAATTTATTAAATTATAACAAACCTGAATTATGAATTTTTACGAACTGCTGATTTCTTAAATATTCTCTTCCAAAATTTGTGAAACTTACTTTTGTTTCGAAGCAAGGGAAGCGAGTTTTTTTTTTATAAAAATTTGCTGTAAGATATTTTTCCTCTCTGTGTATTTATTGTTATTGTTGTTTTCTTTCCATGCGGAAATCAGGTGGTGAGGGGTGGGGCCTTGTTGGGTGGGGCTACTTTTTTTAAGGGGGTTTGGCGTTTGGCAAGGAGACTTTAAATGACTATTTGAAACAAACAAAATAACATACACTTTTATTTTTTTCATATGATATATTAAAAAACTCAAAGATAATAAATATGAAAGCTTTCTTTAAGTTTTATGAATATTTTTAATGCGCCGTGGTACCGTGATATTTTCTACTCCTTCTTATACACTCCGTACAATTTGAGCTTGCGCCGTGTGGGGTCGAAAAATGTAAACAAAACGAACAAAACAACAAAACCAACAACAAAACAGTCGTGTCAAGTGTCAAAACCAGTGTCATAAAACAAAAAGCGACATTATTGAATAAGAGATCTGTGATCTGCTATGTAACCACAAAAGAGGGAGAGAGAAGGGTCACCAGGTCAGATGATCTGATCGCGACCGCTTGGATGAAACTTATTGTTGGTGGCTGCGTAAAATCCAAGATTTGAGGATGAAATGCCACAGGTTTTCAACATGCATCCTTGTTCTGACGTGAGAATCTTGAAATAATTGAATCCTCATAACTCGATCAAGTCTTAATTGTTTTTGTTTCACAGAAAGAATAATTATTATTGAATCATAAATATGCATAAATTTTGTGTATGTACATAAATATGCCTTATTTTTGGATGTAAGTAAAGCTTTTGACTCAATAGATAGGGCGTTTATTTTTAAGAAGTTAATAGAAAGCAAGAAGCTAACGTTCACGGAGTTAAATTATTTAGCTCACAACTTAGACTTAAATTTCTTGAGAATAGTAGATGGAGTAACAGTATCAAAACTTATTACACAATCAAATGGGGTAAGACAGGGGGGATGCACGTCCCCATTTCTGTTCAATTACTCTTTAGCTGATATAAATAATATTCTACGAGATTTGCCAAACGTGAAAGCCATTTATTATGCAGATGATATTGTTTTAACCTCAGAAAAATTAAGTGACTTGAAAATTGCTTTAGCCAGAATGAAAGAATTTTTGTTAAAACGCAGTTTGAAACTTAACTTGGAAAAGTGCAAATTCATGAAATTTAGAAATAAGGGTCTAGGAAAATATGCATTAAGTGACCGCCTAGATTTAGGTGGAATTGAAATAGAGAGAGTTGCTGAGTTTACATATTTAGGAGTTACTTTTCAACCATCAGGAATCTCTTTTGGAAAGCACATTGAAAAAAGAACAAGAGCTGCATTGCTGGCCACTTATAATATACGAGAACTAAAACAATTATCCATTGAAACAGCACACAAGCTATTTGATCTAAAAATTTCCCCAATTGCGTCCTACGGCATTGAAGAAATATGGCCTTTCCTAACAAAGACTGATTTTGAAAATCTTGAAAAAGTCAAAACAAGATATTTAAAAAGAGTTTTAGGACTGTCCAAGTATATTAGATCTATTAGGTCGATCCTGAAGCACGGCGTCGAAGCCGACGTCGTAACCGCTCTCGGTCACGTGAGCGAGGAGACTCTAGAGAGAGGTTCAGAAGTTACAGTCGAGGGAGAGACAATTATTCTGATACTTGGAGTTCTCACAGATATGAAGGTGACAGGGAAAGAACGGACAGATACGGCGAAAATCGCTGGTCCAAGCATGAGGAGTCTGGAAATAAAAATTACACAAGGTATCAAGCCCAAGGGGGTTGGAGACATTCACCTGATAGAGATGGCGGTGGCCAAAGATACTCTTAATCAGGACGAAACTCCTCATCTGAACGACGTTGGGATGACAAAAGCCATGAGCGAGGAGAGAGTCGAAACCGCGGAAATTCAGGAGACCGCTCATCCGGATATTCTCAACCGGGCAATACTTGGCCCAAGTCGAGGGACAGAGACTCGTCTGGTGAGCGGCGCAGGAATAGAGATGCGTCTAAGGAAAGATATGAGAACAATAAGAGAGACAATACTCGCACAGACTCACCTGGACGCAGGGTCCACTTCAGAGAAAATGAAAGGGACAAGAGCAGGTCACCTTCCCGCCAGGGAAACTCCTCGAGGCCCCGTTTATAGCTCCAGGAGTAGACGAGATAGGGTCGGAAAAATCACACCTGGAAAAAGCACAAAACAAAAAGATTAATAGAAGAAAAAGAAAAAAGCAAAAAACTCAACAGATAAAGGAAGCAGAGCTGATTCAAACAGTTCAAAAAACTCAGATGAGAAAAATACAGAATGCTCTAGTTGAAGTTAAAATTAACAATAAACAATACCCTGCTATTTTGGATACAGGGGCAAATGTTTCTATCATTGGTGGGAAACTTTTTAAACTTCTCAGATCCAGAAAGGCAAAAACATGGGCATATAATAAGGGAGTAAACATGCTGAGCGGCTTCATCCAGATTTTAGGTGGAATCAGAATAAATTTGGAATGGAATAAGAAAAGCTTGGTTCATAATTTCTATGCCATAGATGATAATACTTGCCAGATTATACTCGGACTTGACTTCATGGCACAGGCAAAAGTGGGCGTGACAGCCAATGGTTGGTTTTTTGTTGACAGTCCGGAGAAGGTCATTCCATTTGTGCCAATCAGTCAATCTGAAAGTATTAAAATGAGTAGTACCAACATAACTGAAAAACACCAAAAGATAGAACAAGATTTGCTAGGCAAAATTGGGAAAGATGAAAAAGGTGAAATGAAGGCGATTATTCAAGAATTTTGCGCCAAAGGGTTGTTCTCGGACATACCAGGCGAAGCGAAAGGCTTTAAACAAAAATTTGAACTGGAGAAAACGCCACCATTTCAGCAACCTATGCGGCCGATGAATCCAAAAATAAAAAGAATAATGAAATATAAAATACAAGAGATGCTGGACACAGGCGTGATAGAGGAGTCTGAATCGGAATATCTGTCACCACCAGTATTAATTAGGAAAAAGAAAGACAAAGGAAAAAAATATGGTGATGATTTAGATCCGAACGATTTTCGATTTTGTCTCGATCTACGTTATTGTAACTACAGGCTGAAGGAGTGTAAGCCGTATCCTATGCCCAGACTGGATTTTATAATGTCTCACTTGGCAAACAAAAAGGTTTTTACTGTGATTGACTTGTCTAAAGGGTTCCACCAGTTACTAATAGCCCCGGAAAGTCGAAAATACGTGGCTTTCAAAGTGGAAAACGGAACATTTCAATATCGAAAGGCGTGTTTTGGCTTAAAAGTCACCCCCTTTGACTTTCAAAAAGTTATGGATACAGTCTTAAGGATCGATTACGAAACAGGCTTAGTCTACGTGAACGGAGGGGTGAGCCTAACACTAGAGGATGAGGACATCACAGGAGTGGTGATAACTTTCTTGGACGATATAATTGTAGCTTCAATACGGGAAGAACTGCACCCACGTCATGTGGCAGAAGTCCTCGGAGTCCTCTGGGAAGTCGGCTTTACGCTGAACCCCAAGAAAGTGAAGTTCGCAGCCGAGGAGGTTGACGTACTTGGACATACTGTGAAGTATAACGAAATTAGACCTCATACTGACAAAACCTTAGCAATAAGGGAATTCACATTTCCAAAGAACGCTCTGCATATGTCGAGATTTTTGGGAGTGTGCAATTATCTGAGAGATTTCATCCCTGAGTTTGGAGTAATTGCTGCTCCATTATACGGCCTGCTTAAAAATGGAGTCAGGTTTGAGAAAACTGAAGAAGGAGAAAAAGCATTTGAGTTGCTGAAAGAGCTGATTTGCAGTGAAAATTGCACTTTGAAGATGCCAGATTTGGGGCAACCTTTCATTCTCGCATGCGATGCTTGTAAACATGGAATAGGAGCATGTCTTATGCAGGAAGTGCAAGGCAAAAGAAGGCCTGTGGCTTTCTATAGCAGGGCAACTACTGAAGCCGAGAAAAAGTTCTGCATAACAGAGTTGGAATGCTTGAGTGTAGTAGAAGGAGTTAATAAATTTTTTGCTTATTTGGAATATTCTAAATTCACAATAGAAACGGATCACGCGGCTCTAAAAACTCTGTTAACGATGAAACACCCTTCGGGCAGAGTTAAACGATGGGCATTGAAACTGATGGCCCTCCATGCAACAGTGGTTTTCCGACGCGGTAAAGATAACGTGCTAGCAGACGCGTTGAGTAGAGATGTAAATCCACGGTCCGAGCAAAAAGCTCCAGATATGAATTACATAGAAAAATTCATACCAGTACACGAGCCAGTGGAAGAGCGACTGCAGTTCGGAGTCACAAATGCAGGGCCACCGCGCCATGCCTGTCACAGATGCGCTGACGAATTAATCATTCAGGAGATCCAAGCGCGAGCACCGGTGCAAACGTTACCTGAAATAAACAATTTAGAAAAGTCCAAAAATAGCAAGGTTGTTCAGAATACTATACCAACAAGGCAGAGGAAGCCCAACTCTCAAAACCAGGAGTGGTTGCAGGACCTTTTCAACAGAAACGCAAAACAGACACAGAGTCCTAGAAAAGCAAAGCATAAATTAGTGAGAGAAAAGTAAATCCGGCAAGAAGGAAAAAACGCTTTCAACAATGGCCAAAGAGAAAAGTGACCAGCAAATTGGTGCTACCTTCTAGAAAAGAACTCAGCACAGCAGCGAAGATTGCTATTTTGGTGAGCCAGTTAGAAGAACAGGAGACCTTCCCAGCAACTCCGGACCAGTGGGTCCAGGAACAAGCTAAAGATGAAATACTAGATCAGATTAAAGTAAAAGTATGGGAACAAAACACAAACCGGTATTATATCACTGATGAAGGGGTGTTGATGAACAGAGGGCAGCAAACGTCCACAATAGTAGTCCCAGCGCATTTGAGACGTTCCGTCTTAATGATGGAACACAATCATGTGTTAGCAGGCCATCCTGGAATAAGGAAGACAAGTCAAAAAATTGCACTAAAGTATTCATGGAAAAATATGAAGGAAGACATAAAAAATTATGTGAATTCGTGCGCACAATGCCAGAGAGTCAAACAACGAAATTATAAAAAATATGGACTGTACGCAGCGCGACTTGAACAGCCAGTAGGTCATACATTGGCGATTGACTTGATAGGAAAATTACCACGATCCACACGGGGATTTCAGTATATCCTAGTAATAACTGACACATTTTCGCGGTACGCGCACATGTATCCAATTAGGACAGCGACGTCCCAAGTCTCACTGGAAAAGGTACTAGAGTGGGTGGCAATGTTTGGACCGCCGAGACGCATAATTTCGGACAATGCTACAAATTTTAAGAATAAACTTTGGGCCGAAGTTCTGGCCAAAATGAGGGTCCACCAGAAGTTTAATGTGGCATATAGACCGCAGTCAAACATGACCGAGCGAGTAATAAAAAACATAAAACAAAGACTAAAAACGTATACAAAGAACCACAGAGACTGGTGCGAGCATCTAAGTGCCATTTCTTATACTTTGAAAACGACGGTGAACGAGACCACTGGGTTTACGCCGGCATTTTTATTCCTCGGCCGAGAGCTGTCGTCGTTCTTTGACCCTGACACGCCCATTTGGACAGGCGAAACAACCGAATACGCTCAAAAAATAATTCAACGATTGGACAAAGGTTACCGGGCAGCTACGGAACAAATATTACACGAAAAAGAACGACAAGCAGGTCGATATAATAAAAGTCGACAGCCGCATGACATTCAGGTCGGAAACCTGGTATTAATAGACCAGCATGTCTTATCCCAGGCGGCCAAAGGCATTACGATGGCGCTAGCGTCACCCCGCGAAAAATTTGTATATCGCGTGGAGCGCCGCCTGGGCACCAACGGCGTGCAACTCAAGCCAGTCTACGATTTAGAGCGGCAAGAACCAGTCGACGGACAAGACAACAGTAAGATAATTTTTTCCAATGTAGATAAGTTGAAATTGTTTACGTTTAGACCCCATTGGGCGAGGGCAAAATCGGAAATCGGACTACCTGAACAAGAAAATGTAAAGGACAATTAAGTTTCCCGCGGGAGTTAAAAGTCAATTCAGACCACGAGGCGAACGCACGCATTCCATTGGTGGAATGTGGATTACAATTAGTTTAAACATGCGCAGACAGAGGTTTCAACACGTTGTTGACGAGTCGCGAGGAAGGGCTAACCCGAACAAGTAATTGAAGTGGATTTGTTTATTTAAAATGTACCGAAAAAAATTAATTAAAAGACCACGCGGCAATAGAACGCATCACAAAGCAGTAAAGACAAGTGGACTCCATGGGTGAGAAAATAGACTGAGAAATAATGTGATAATATAATTTTAAATGTCCGAAAAAGTTGACTAAATTTTTTTAGAACAAAATTAATAAAAAAAAAAAAAAAGAAAAAATTTTTAATGTGTTAAAAGACGAAAATTACATTCAAAAGGAGGGCAAATAGACCAAGGAATGCCGACAGGCAGTTTAGAATGCGAGAAGGCATGTCACGAAGGAACGCCAGGAAGGCGAAGAATGAAAACTTTGACTCAAATAGCTGACGGAATTTTTGGGTCAAATGAAATGAAAATTTGTGTGATTTTGTTACAGAACCTCAACAGGATGGCAATGGTCGGTCAGGCTGGGGGTTTTGGTGGACCACCACCTCCACCCAATCCGCACCAACACAGTTGGAAAAGCAAACTCGTGTTGCCAGAGGAGGACGAGGAAGCGGACGACAAGGAGTTAGAAAGAATTCTCGGAAAGCTGCCTTACCTCGACTCGATGAGGTAAGGCCAGATTATCCAGAATAAAAGTTAACTCGTCCTTCAGAGAAGAAGAGGAGCGGTGGCGAAACGCCCATACCCGTACAACCCGCAGGCGAAGAAGGCCAAACCGGAGAGGCCAATGGTTCAGGGAGTGGACGTTCTTGCACGTCTGCACGAGGTGAAGCATTATTTGCCAGCGGAGAGCCGGGCGCTATCGTGGCGCGAGTTGATAAGGGCGATGATCTGGCTTCTCAATAACCGTCTGATGGAAATGCAGGAGGTCGTAGCTTCCAAGCAGGCGGACTATCTCCAAGAGTACCTCGTGGTAAATATAAAATTAAAAAGGATTGCAAGAGAGAAAAAAAAAAAAAAAAAAAAAAAAAAAAAAAAAAAAGATTTTGTTGAGCAAAATAATAATACTAATTCGGTTGGCAGATACGACATCCTCACCTGGCTGGAGCAGTAAAACCCTATGTGCCACCGGTCAATTACGTACCGACTCCAAAGAAGGAGCTCTTGCCACCGGCGAGGTCGCAAGCTGATCTGGACCGGCGTTACGCCCAGCTCGTCCAACAAACTGCTACACTGCAACAGCAGCTGAATGACCTGCAGGCCCATCGGGGGGCAGGGAGCAGCGGGGGCTACCAAACTGGACCAGTGCAGAACTCCCAGAGTGATGAACAGTTGGTGGACGCGATCCTGGACCTGGACTCTGAGGAGGACTCTGCAATGGATCCGGTAGAAGGAACCGGAGGGGATTATGAGGTTGAAATTTTTCAGGGTTTGAACCCCTTTAACCCTCTTGATCTTCAGCAGGATGACGAAGAGCCAATGGTGCTCGACGCAACCGCTAGGGTACAGAGGTTGCAGATTGTGGAGCTGCCGGCCGCGCCGAGGGTCCAGCAGGTATCCCTGCCCAAACCAATCAGGATGCCAGCTCTGGGAGCACCAGGGCCGTCCAGTGCGAGCGGGGCGGTGCCAAAAGGCGGCCACAGGTCGGGCGCTTACCCAAAGCTGATGCCGCGGCCGAAGAAGACCACGAGTGGACGGGGCAGGAGCGGCTCTACTCTGAGTGTGCGCACACCGAGGGCGGTGCCCTCAACTAGACCAGCAGGGTCGGGTGAAAAACCCAAGGTGACGGCCACTCCATCAAAGTCGGCGACATCGGGTCAGCAGCCCAGAGCAGAGAACCAGCCCAAAGCGGAGGACAAATCGGCCGAGCAACCTGCTCCGTCGAGTGAGAACCAGAAGGTGAGCATTGGTCGCCAGTAGCTCTTTTCAAAACGCTCTGGAACGGCAGCCCAAGGGGGTTTCTTTTTGTATCGGGGTATATGCGCCGACCACAGCGATGTGTTCGCCACAAGGTGAAACAGGTGGTAAGAGGCGGAGCACCTCGGTTGTGCTTGTGTTCCAGAGAGGGCATTTTGAAAAGAGGAATAAAATTAGGAGTGAATTAATTAAATAATGATGATTGTATTTCTCTTTCAGAAGAAGGAATAATTCCTTAGTGCAAAAAGACCAAGTCCAACGAATTAATTATTATTTCTGGTTGTGGGAATACCTTGTATCCTTGCGGTTTCCAAACCAATATATTTTGCTAGACATGTGTTTTCTTTGTACAACAGGCCAAGGTCTGTGATTGAAGATAATAAAAGCTCTCTCTGATTTACTTTCATGATTGTTCTTGGTAAATTATTTGTTTTATTACTTAATTTATTGTTACCCAATTTGTACACTTTGGTATCAGCCATTGGGCTGGACCAAAAGAAGGCACAGACCATTGGGTCTGCCCTTCAGAGGGAATCTTGACCATCGGCGCTAGCTAGCATTCAGCACCACTCGAGGGAACCTTTTGGCCGAGGGCCTCCAGGAAAAGCTGCCCCACTGGTGGGACTTTCCCCTGGGAGGCCTGGAACTCGAGCGGGAGGACTGACCTGAGGAGGTTGCTGTCCCGCAGGAAATCGCCTTACCGAGGGTGCGGGGGAGCAGTGAGAGCTGAAGACAGAACAGGGTTGTTATATGGAGCTATAAGGGATTGTCATATTTTGTTACGGAGGTGTGTCGACATCGGGTTCGGACATCTTCGGAGTCACTAGCGGATTACCCTGCCATAGGGCAGAAGTTGTGTGTCCTTCTCCGTCTCTGCGACCCCTCAGGGACGGGGCGGCCACACTCGGTACATTGAATAGTTTGATTCCAAAACTTGATGCTAGGCTTTCAGTAGTGTGTACCAATCCTTGTTGTTCTCGGACAGGTCCAACTCAGATAGGGTAATGACCACCTTAAAAAAATTAAACTTTAAATTGAGCTATTTCAAATACAAGAGTATATTTACCTGTCCCATCAAAGGGTTGGAAGAAAACATGGAGTTCTTGTTGGACAGGACAGAGACCTCCAGTTTGCGTCCATGCAGCTCACCTTCAGACATGACATACTCAAAAGTCTCCTCATAATTTGGATTGCAATCGTCTTTGACAGTCTGAAATTTACAAAAATAAATATAATTCCTATAATAAATTTAACAAAAAGTACCTCAGTTTTTCTCTTGTGCTCTTTGGACTTGTCTGGTAACAGGTGGAGTTTGACGTAAGGGTCAGGAGGGTTAGTGGGGTCATCCAGAGGTAAGTTTCTAAAAATAAAAGAGTTTTAAGTCATCAATATTTTAATTTTAAAGTCTGGGCATACTCAATTTTGTGCACAGTGACAACCAATCTCTGCCTTGGGTGGCTGTAGCCGATGGTCATCTGAATGCTGCCAATGTTGGTGCTGCACAAAATAATTTAAATTGAGAAAAATTATCATGCTATAATCTTATATCCTCACTTTTTAATGGTTCCACGGCGGCGCAATCCTGACTCGATTATCGAAGACGGGGGTGCGGCGTTGACGACTGCAGGGGCAATTGAACTCTCAACCAGGGGTTCAATGGCTGCCTTGATGCTGCCAACACTAACTGTGTCAAGGCTAGCCGAATCCGTTGAGAAATTCCTTTTGGGCTCCTTCTTGTGGACAGGGGAGCTGCCACCAGACTTATCAATCGTGATACTCTTGACATCGGCTTTCTTCAAGATCTGTCACACAAAATTAACCCCACTCCTAGTAAAATGGGCAAAGATTTACCCTCAGCTGCATAGACATGAATATTTTTGCCCCCGGTCCTGCTCCCTTCAAACGGAAGGGCTGGTTGTTTACTTGCAGCAGACGTCTCTCGTACAGACCAACCAGGTTGTAGGTGAAGCTGCCCAACTCAGACGTGGTTTTTTGATCCATCACCTAGTAAAAAACAAATTTAAAAGTATAACCAAAGATACAAAAATTGTATACTTTAATGTGCAGGGTGTCCGAGTCGGGGTTTTGCACAAGGAAAGTGTAGCCCACTTCCCAGACGGGGTCGTTGGTCCTCATGACCACAGCCGATTGCTCGCTTTTTGATCCAAGATTAATCACAAAGTAAGGGTCAGGCTTCTTGTTGTCCTTCACAGACTGCATTCAAATTGGCAAATAGTTTTTAAATCATATAGGTTTTGACTTGCTTACCCGAAGTTGCTTGGCGCAGTCAATGTAGATGATGAACAGGGCAGACGACATTCCATTTAGGTGCAAAAGCTTTGTTTCGGCCAAAGTCTAATGAAAATCAAGTAAGTTTACTTCCTATTTTAATAAAATAAATCCTCACGGCCGCCAAATCATTCCTGTCTGTGCTCAGTCCAAACCAAGTGAATCGCAGGTGGATGTCACCATGCTTTGCTTCTTCAAGTGGAATCCACTAAAAAATTTTCTTAACTAAAGATAAATAATTTTCAGCTCAGGTTATACCATGTCTGACTGGCCTCGTTGCACGAGGGTGTTGATATCGATAGTTGCCCTTGAAATTAATAATAATTATTTTTAAGATAATTAAACAATTAACAATATGAGTAACAAAACAATATTCAGGGACGTTTAAAAAACTCACTTTCCAAGAAAGTCGTGATCCGCTCGCGCTCGCTCTCATCCGCGTCGCGCACGCCGCCACGCATTCGGGGGGCTCGGCGGACATTATTCCCACGATCCCTCACGCTCACTCTCCAACTCCTCTCTCCAGGACACACTTGTCAGGATGGTCCGGAGACTCTGGCTGAACTCTAGGCGCGTTGGGCCGGCTCTATCCCTCGGCGGGACGGAGTTCTCCGGCCGCTGGATTCGCAAAAGCTGCACGCAGAATTTTCTAAGTCCCGCTGCGCTTTATTTGCTGCTTCAACTGCCAACAGCTCACTCCTTTTGGGGCGCCGATCTTTCCTGCTGCTCTATCTGCCGCCGGAGAAGATCTGGAGGCTCTTTTTTTGCACCTCCCAATGAGGCGGCTTTTCTTCTCGACGAGCAGGGAAGATCTGCGGTGCTCCAACGCTGGATGCTCTCGAAGCTCGAAGTTCCCCGGTGACTCTATCTCTCTGCAAGGCTGAATCTGATCTGCGGCGATTTGGCTCCTCCCTCTGGCTGCAGGATCCGCTGCTTGGATAGAAACATTATCGCATCGGGATTTAACTAACGTAACGCGTGGCTCCATAAACCGTGCACAGGTTTATAGAGCCAGCGTTTGCTGCAGCCAGACTGAGTAGGGAAACCGGCATAGCCTCCGGCCGCCCTCCTCAGCCTGACCCGCAGGTCAGCCTGGTGGCAGCCCTTGCGGGCCGCCGGGGGTCTCCGCTCCCCGCTCCCGAAGGAGCCGGAGCAAAGAGTGCGCCGCTTACCGAGCGGCTCGGGTTTTTATATCATTTCTTCTCATTTGCATATATCGACGATCCTGGGAAATCGGAGACCCCTAAACTCCACCTTTCTTCTAGAAGGTTCTCGAACTTTCCAATGCTGTAGGTATAGGAGATGATCACACTCCCCTCTTGCCGCACTCTGATTGGCCGCCCAAACTCCAGGGGGCTGGCCGAAGCCGCAGCGCCCGCGACACGTCGCCACTCGCCTGCAGGGTAAAAATCAGCGGAACTAACTTCCTCTTCCCACTCCTTCTCTCTTGCTGCTGGCGCCGGCGCACAGAGCGCCCCTCTTCCGCTGCAGCCAACACATCAGCTGGGCACGAAAACAAAGACTCGGCAAACTAACTCGCGGCTCTGATGATAAATAAAATGCTTAAGCGAAGGAACAACAATAAATAATAAAGTTGGTGAATCAGTCGTCATTCTGATAGCCAGGAAATCCTCTGTCCCAGTCCCAAACTTGAATCAGAATTTCCTGTGCTTTAAACGAGGAAACTTCAACCTGATAGAAAAATATGATTCAACTCTTTGCTCTCTACAATTATTAAATTCCCTTACCTCACACCAATAATCCCACTTTGGATTGACGCTTCCTTCAATAATCTGTGTTTTGTAGGTTTTTGAACCAATAGTTAGAACAGTATATGGGTCTGACTTTCCTTCTCCAAGGACACTGATGTCCATCTTCATCAGGTTCCTCGCCTCCACCAAGTGAATCCTCAAAACACCCTAAAAAGTTTTGTTAGAAATTAGTTCATTCAAAATAAAATTAGATTAATTTACCTCTGGCTCAGGCGTCTTCAGCACTTGGGCTGGAACTTCCTCACTCAGGAGGATGGGGAATTTGTTGGGCAGAACCATCATGGCCGCAACTTGTTCGGATATAATTCGCTGCAGAACATCCCTGGAATTTATAAATTTAATTGAAATTCTAACAACAAATTTAATTTATAAACCTCAATCCAGGAAAATCGAGAACATCAGCAATTCCCACCAAGTTAAAATCTATCTCAGGGTTGTTCAGGAAAAACACCTGCAAGCCTCCAACCAGCGGAATTTGCGTCAGGAGTGGCTTCATCACAACTCGAACAAGTCCACTAACCTGGATTTGAAAAAATTAAATTATTTTAATTTTAAATCATTAACATGCCTGGAAGTCCTTAATGCCTCCTTTAATTCCTTTAGCACTGAAAGTAATGTCACAGTCTCCGCCATAACTAAATAGTTGTATACGTTTAGTTCCATATCATTCAATAAAAAAAAAAACATAAAACTCACAACAAATCAATGTCCATTATTATCTCACTCCTTGACACATTTTGATCATATACTTTGATCCCTCCAATCCTGGGTGGCTAAATTTAAAACCAATTGAGATCTCCAAATTTAAGATAAGATATTATTTACAATATTTCCCAAGACGATTCTCTCAAATTTAAAGTCGCCAAGTTTGTAAGGCAGCAGAGCTTCCTGCAAAACTGGCTCGATGGTGTTTTTGATCAAGTCTCGGGCATAGCTGTTCACATTAGGCCAGATTAATTTGAAAATCTAAAATGAAATAAATAAATGTCCTAAGCTTAAATTTAGTTACTTTTATATAAGTTTTGTACCTTATTCATCCACTCGGCTCGCTCTACGTCAGGAAAGAATACCTAGATTTATTTGGAAATTATTATAATTATTTATATACAAATTTATTTCTAGCATACCCAAGAGGGCAAATCCTTGACCCTGGCCATGATGACGTCACGTTCATCAGTCATGGCAATCCTCTTGAAGATCTGCTGCTTGGATTTGGTCTCTCTCTTGCACTCGTCTCGGATGATGAGGATCATGATGGGACAGATCATCCAGGCGGCACTCAGTTGGAAAAAGCCTAGCATGTATGACGTGGTCCAGTCTGAGCTACGGACCGAGAACCAAGACTGAGCAAAACAGCTACCTGACAAGGCCGCACTCGATGCCGGCCACCCGCCTACATAATTATTTTAAGACAATTTAGGCCATTTGAAAATTAAGAGAGAATCCCTATCCTGTAGTAAAGTCAACCCCACCGAAACTTTTGTATTCTCGCGCGCCGCCACCTGAGCAAAAACTACCTGAGCGTCGCGCCCTGACTGGCGCTGCCTACTTCCGCGTCCTGTCGACGCGGGCCTGCCTCAATGCTGAGCGCCAACGGACAAGTCAGACGGCCCGGGAGACTCACAGCGCAAACACGTACACTTTTATCAATCTCCAAAATCGCCATTTTTGAGAAGCACATTTCTACCAATTCTGGTAATTGTTATTTAAGCACCCAAGAATCCCCTTTTTACAAAACTCTCTCAATTAACAATATTAACGTAACTATTCTGGCCATTTATTAAGCGAATTATTATTATATTTTGTAATTGTTTAGGACTTAAGAAAATATAACTTTAATCATCATTTTAAATTATATCTGTTGTCGTATTTGAAGTCAAACATAAACCCTTAAATAGAATAATAAAGTAAAGTAATTAAGAGTTATTCTAAAACTAAATTAAAAGCAACTAAGAGAATTTAAGCTGAATTAAGAGTAATTAAGATGCACGTGTGCCACACGTGTTTGAGTGAATGTTAAACTAAGAGGTTAAAGCGAAGTAAATTAAACAACTAAAGTAAAGCTAAAAGGTAGGAATAAGAATTAAACATCAAATTAAGGATTAGCCAATTAGTGGAGATTTAAGGCAACTTTACTAGTCAGCAACTTAAGGGTTAAGGCAAGAGCAAGGCCAGCTTTCTTTCTCAACCCAATTAAGCTTAAACACAAACCCTGAAGCAACACAAAACTGAGTTCTCCTTGGCCAGTCTCCAGCTCTGGGAATAGCGTTAAGTTTGGGCTCGGATGGATGTTGATATTAATTCTGTGTCGTTACACGACAGATTTGGTGTTCAGGTGTGTGGGGTGCTCAATTGTGCCCCGAGAGGAACGTCCCCACTGCGCAGAAGGACTCTTCCGAACCGCAATCACCATCCGACCACAAACAGTTCCGGACAGCGTCCGCACCTACAGGCAGCCATTTTCCCGCCCTCCTTGCACGGGACGCCGTCGCTACTAGGAGGAATCTGTTGGCTGACCTGAACCCAGAGAACCAGAGCTGTTAAGTTAAGTGCCCTTTGTATTGAGTCTCTAACCAAGTTGCATTTTTTTCATTTTTTCGCGAGTTTTGAAGGAATAATTGCCGAATTAAAATTTAATAATTAATTGAAGCTCTGATTGAGAGCATTTATTGCACTTGAATAGAACTCCCTCTTTTATCTGTTGTGGCATTTTGAGCGCGAATCTGTAAACTCCGTCAAGATGAGCTCCCCACTCATAGACTTCGAGCAATTCCTCGTCAACACCGTCGACCAACAGAAGGCGGACGACTTGATCGCCAACACTGCAAGCGCTGCAGCCAACGCAGCCGCCGCTCTTCTCAGCAAGCAATTTGCAGGGATGCGGGTCAGCCACTACGGAGACGAACATGGTACGTCGCTCTCGAAGTTCATCCAGAGCATCGAGAGGGCAAAGTTCCTCACGCCCGCCATCACTGAAGCCGAGTTGGTGAGCGTGGCCATTGGCAACCTGACCGGTCCAGCCTTTAAGTATGCCTCGAAGCTGGACAGCAGGAAAATGACGCTCGGTGAACTGGAGAAGCTCCTCGCCGAAAAGTTCGAGCAGGCAGCGGACTACAGCACTCTCAAGAGCTCCTTCGAGCGCCTGAAACAAGAAGAGTGGGAAAATGTGAAGAAATTCTACCTTCGCTTGGAAACAGCCGCCCACAAAATGCTTGACGCCCGGGAAACTCATGCCGAAGAAACCGAAAATATCAAGCAGCACTTACTGGAAGAAGAGATGAAGAGGCAGTTCCTCGCAGGCCTCCACGAGGACATTGCGCACGTTCTCCAGATCACCAACCCTAAAAGTTTGTCGGAAATGTTAAAAACTGCCATTCAGTACGAGACGGGGCGCAAACTGCGAAAGCAAAGCAATCAGAAAACCGACCTGGTGGTTGCTGCTGTCACCGAAGCCCTCCGCGCCGCCGCTGGAAACACCAGCAGGGTCGACCAGCAGGCCGAGGCAGCCGCCTCCACCCAGGGCGGGCAGTACGCCGCCCTCATGCAGTTCCTCCAGGCGCAAGCAGCTCAAATGGCAGCTGCTCAAATTCCACAACCGCAACTTCCTCAGGCTCCGCAGAAGCATTTCTGGCCGCAGCCTCCACCTCCTCTTCCTCCGATGCAAGCCCAGTCAGCGCCCGGAGCGCAGTACGCTGTCCACTACGCAAGCGCACCGCCCCAGCAGCACTACGGCCAGTTCTCCAACTCACGTGGGGGCGCACAGCAGCAGAGAGGCAACCTGAAAGCAGTCAAGTGTTACAGATGTGGTAAATTCGGACACATGGTTAAGGATTGCCAAAAACCGTGTTCGTACTGCCTCCAACCAGGTCACTACCTGGCAACCTGCCCCCTCCTGCCGTGCAGACTTTGCAACCAACTGGGACACTTACCAGCCAACTGTCCTTCGGCAGGCGGCCAGCAGGGAGTTCCCGGTGGCGCTCCTGCCATCCAGCAGCAGACAAAAAACTTCCAGCAGTAGGCGGCGCAGACGCCGCCCTTAAGTCCTTCCTTAACGTCCACGCCATCCAGCCTCGTCCCGGTCGCATCCTCTGGGTTCAGAGAGGGCGCCTCCGCATCCCAATGATGATCGACAGCGGCAGCGCCATCACTATCTTGCGCTACAGCTTGGCAAAGAGGCTGGGACTGGACCTGAAACCGTGTCACATTAAATTTGGCTGCGCAAATGGCACGGGAATGCAAGTTAAAGGAAGCACTGAATTCAAGTTCAACGTACTGGGGAGGGAAATTTCACACACCTGCGTGGTGGTCGATGTCAATGGTGTCGGCTACCAAGCTCTCCTCGGGCTGGACTTTCTGCACTCACATGAAGCCGTCAGTGACCACGCAAACAACCGCCTTCACTTTCCATGGGCCACCGCCGAGCTGGACGCCAACACTGGCCATCATGAGGCGCAAGTCACACTGGTGGACAAAAGGCCCCAGCGGGACAACGAACACGAACTGGAATTTTTCCCAGTTGTTGCGCCCAGAGACGAGCTCATTCGTGGACTCAGCTGCACATCCATCGAAGCGGTCACAGGGCTGCCCGTCGGGACGGACGTACTCGTCCTCACTGAGAGCCCCGGACTGAACTGCCCAGCTGTCCCGATGGTCACCAAAGTGGAGCGCGGTGGTAGAGTTTCGCTCCTGCTCAGCAACCCTGAAAAAAGTCCATTTCTCATTAAAGCAGGAAAAATTGAAGGAATTTTGGTGGCCAAAATTGGCACAGATTACAGCATTGTGGAAGATGACTTCGTGCAGAGAAAAGAGCCAAAACCACCTGACCCACCAAATGACAGCGCAAATCTGATCAACGTGTGTGCCGACGAAGAAGAGACAGAGCCGCCCTTCCTTCCCAATCCTGTCAGTCAGCCGCTCACCGACGAACAGCGCCTCGCCCAGTTCGATTTCAACGGCGTTGACCCTGAACACCTGCCAGCCCTGAAGGCCCTCATCCTGAAAAACATCGACGTTTTCGCCTTCAGTGACCAACCGCTGGGCTGCACTGACATGCTGAAGCACAAGATTGAGGCGATGCAGAGCCAGTGAAAGTCCGTCCCTATCGAGTGCCAATGGCCATGAGAGAAGTGATGCAGGCCGCGGTGCGGGACATGCAGCGCCAGGGTGTCATCGAGCCTGCCAACAGCCCTTGGAGCGCGCCCATGATTATGGTGGCACGGCGCGGTCCGGACGGAGAGGTCATCAAGTATCGACCCTGCATTGATTGGAGAGGATTAAATGCGGTGACTAAAAAGAGAGTTTACCCCTTGCCGCACATCCAGGACGTCTTGGACTCTCTGCAGGGCAGCAACTACTTCTCCACTCTTGACTTGGACAGCGGCTACTGGCAGATTCTCATGGACGAGGCTTCAAAAGAGAAGACAGCCTTTTCAACGCCCTTCGGACAATTTCAGTGTCTTCGGATGGGATTTGGGCTTGTAAATGGACCGTCCGACTTTTCTGCCCTAATGGACGCAGTCTTCAGGAACAAATACAGAGGAGTGGTCAACTACATGGACGATGTGGTGGCAGGGACAAAACTCCTCCTCGAGCACTGGGACGCTCTGCAATACATATTTGACCGCCTGAGGGAAGCAAAGTTGAAGCTCAAACCAGCAAAATGCTTCTTTCTGCGCCAAGAAGTCTCGATCCTGGGACACAGAGTGTCCGCCCTGGGCTCCAAACCAGACCAGAAAAACATCGAGGCCATCGTCCGCTTCCCCGCACCAACAGAGAAGAAAGCTCTGAGGAGCTGGATTGGCATGGTGAACTACTTCCGACGCTACCTGCCCAAGTTCTCTGGCCTCATCAAGGTCCTCACTGACCTGCTGAAGGAGGACGTGCCCTTCGTTTGGGCCGAGGAGCAACAGAAGGCCTTCGAAAAGACCCAAGCATTGCTACGCAGCGAACCGCTTCTCCGCCTGCCGGACATGACCAAGCCCTTTGTCCTCAGCACTGACGCCTCTGGCTTCGCCCTTGGTGCCGCCCTAGAGCAGGACTTTGAAGACGGCCGCCACCCGGTTGGGTTCGCCAGCCAGAAGCTGAAAAGGGCAGAGTTAAACTACCACACAACTGAAAGAGAGTGCCTTGCAGTGCTCTTTGCTGTCCGTGCCTTTGACGTGTACCTCAGAGGGCGCCACTTTATTCTGCAGACAGACCATGAGTGCCTTAAATGGCTTTTGAGCACCAGCAGAATCAAAGGTGGCAAACTCGCAAGATGGGCAGCAGAGCTGGCCGAGTATGACTTCACTGTCCAAGTCGTTCCTGGTCGCAAGAACTCCGTCGCCGACGCTCTCTCCAGAGTAGAAATTAACTCCATCATGCAGACCACGCAGGAGACAGCGGTCAAGGATAAAATTGCAAAAATCTGGGACAGAGAGACAATAAAAGTGGCACAGAGAAAGGACGAACATTGCTCAAGAGTGCTAAACACACTGGCAGACGCGCCAGCAAATGAGCTCAGTCCATACTTCACTGACGCCGACGGCCTCCTCTACTTCAGGGACCTTGAGGGGCCGCGCCTTTGTGTTCCAGCAGAAATGAGACCTCGAGTGTTGGAGGTCTGCCACAATTTGCCAACAGGTGCACACAAAGGAGGCTTCAGGATGTTCTATGACATAAGAAAAAGGTTCTACTGGCCAGGATGGCACCGGGATGTTCGCCAACACTGCGTCCTCTGCATGTCCTGTGTGCAGAAAAAGGGTAAAAATATGCCGCCTGTGCTCAACAGACCAGTTGCCCCAGTTGTCTGGCGCCTGCAGAGAATCGCTATTGACATCAAAGGTCCACTTCCTCTGAGCAAGAAACGCAACAGGTTCATTTTGACCTTCGTGGACCACTTCACGCACTACCCAGAAGCAGCTGCACTGGCTCACACCGACGCTGAAACAATTGCATGGCACCTGTTGGACAAAATTATTTCTCGTTACGGCGTTCCACTCGAGTTGCTT